CACAAGAGCATCCCAGCACTTTAATCACTGAATCTGTAAAACGACTTTCATTAGAAAGACATTGTGCACTAAACACAAACAGCTAATTATCTCAAACAAAATCAGAAATTGCTGGAAGAACTCCGCAGTCCGGCAGAAGGGTCTTCTTGATTTGAAATGTTAATGCTGTTTTATTTAAACAGATGTTGCCAGACCTGCTGAGGTTTTCCAACAATTTCTGATTTTGTTCCTGATTTTTAGCTTCTGCAATTCTTTGGTTTTTCATGTGATTATTGCCATCACCACATAATTACATTGGGGATGTTGTTTCTGTTGACGCCTTCTCCTACTTCACAGATTAAGGAAACACATGAAAGCCAATAACCCTTCACTCACCCTTTATACCTCATCTGATTTTCTAAATCAAACTTCAACATGAGAATGGTCCAATTGATTTCCTAAGCAATTATAATAGGAGGGGCAGCACGGTGACTCAGTGGTTAGCACTGCTGCCTCAACTTGTTGGGCTGAAGGGCCTATTTCCACACTGTACGGATTCTATGATCTATGAAACAAATGACCAAACAAATATTGAAAACATCACCTGGGTGACCCACTGTTCGCAACTGATGACATTGTGCCTTGCATTCTTGTAGACTCTTGTAAGGTATTTTCCTGTGACTACGCAAAAATGGAGTCAGCCTACTTCTTATATCTGCTTGGCGTGTCTACTGTTTTGATCCTCATTTCAGTTTCTGCATGTGTAGCCTTGGAGGGGTTGGCCTCAGTTATAGGACCTAAAAGCATGGATGGGTCCTGCATTTAACAGGCTGAGGAGCTGAGTGATGGTACATGTGTTCCTGAGGGATGGTCCCCTCGTCAATAGCTTTGTTTGCCCATATCTACTTCCCAAACTATTTCATTCCATGACCTTGTTTTGAGGTTTGTAAATTGTTGTGACCCCCTCAGTGACACTTGAGAAAAGTAGAAGGGTCGTGGTGGTGGTGGGTGGGTTGGGGAAACAGGAGGGGCAGTGCAAAAAGACATTTTCTTTTTATTCATTTGAGAAGTATGGGCATCACTGGCCGGCCAGCATTTATTGCCCATCCTTAGTTGCTCTAGAGTAGATGTTGGTGGGGGTAACAGGAGGGGCAGTGCAGAGAGACATTTTCTTTTTATTCATTTGAGAAATGTGGGCATCACTGGCTGGCCTGTCTTCATTTATTACCCATCCTTAGTTGCCCTTGAGTAGCTACCTTCTTGAACAGCTGCAATCCATCTGCTGTGGGTTGACTCACAATACCATGAGGGAGGGAATTCCACCATGAGAGTGAAGGTGGTGTTTGACCTGTGGGAGTTGGTGGAGTGAGCTGCTGAGAGAGCAGGTACCTATTCAAGCAGGAGCACAGCTGTTTCTGTCATTAGTAGCACTGAATGGTCAATGGTGCAACCTCATTGTTAATGCATTGCTCCTGCATCCACTCAGAGTGCTGTAATATGTAGTTCACAAAGAAGTTAGCCACTCTCTCAATGGAGGTGCTCACGTACTCAAATCTCTTGAGGCTTTAAGGAGTAAATGTAGTACATGGACTCCTTCCTTACCTTCCCAGAGCTTCATAACACCTCAAAGATCTTGGAAATTGGAGATATTGTCTGCCCTTAATGCTCTGTGATGATTTCCCCTTGCTGCAACAACTGAGACCCAGGGTTTTTGCCAAGCAGAGCACGTTGCTGTCTTCCATTTTCAAACTGAATTGCACACAGCTGACTGTCTCACTCTCCTCCCTAATCTTGATTCAGGCTGAACTGTGGTACTTTGCATGTGCAGATGGTACAGGTTCTGTGAGTCTTCCCCCACCATTGAGGCTGGAGAAACACATGATCTGTTTTGACTATCTTGCTATTTAACAGCCTTTGAGAATGTTCAAATACAGGTTGTCTGTCACTAATAATTTCAAACTTGAGAATCCAGAACTGATGTAAATTCCACATATATTGTAGATTAATGTACAAACTTAGAGTAGTAAATCAAAATTTACTTATCTCAAAATCATGGAATCTTGTGGCTTTATTCTCTTAGTAGTATCTGGGATTTCTAAAAATAAAAAAAAGACTGGTTCCTGACAAGGCTATTGCATAAATTTAGCAGCCTTGTCAGGGACAATGACATAGTTGGAAACAAAAAGGGTTTACACAAAGGAGGGGAAAAAAAAACAGATCCAGGCACCCTGGAAAGATATAAAGAGCAGAAAATGGATACAGAGCAAATATTGGAAGTTACAAAATGCAAAAATGCTTGTGACTGATATAAATGACAACATTAAATATTTTTTAACATTCATGAAGTGAAAAGATAGTGGTTGACTAATGTGATGTCTTAATGACAAACCTCGTGTGATACTGTCATTGGACATCTGGAAAAAAGGATGGCCTTTACTGTAGAGAACAGGGATAAAACACCATAACTTCAGCGAGAACAAAATAAATCAGACAGTGGAACTAAATAAATTCAATACAACAGTTCATACTAAAAGAGTAAATGAGAATTTAATGAGATTAGTTATAGAAAATCTCATGATTATAGATCAGCCACGATTGTTTTAAATGATGGAACAGGCTTTGAGTAATAAATGGCCGACTCCTAATGCCATAGTACCAGATGGTGCACATCCCAGGAAATAAAGGTGGATGAAGAAATTATTGATGCATTACCATTGATCTTCTAAAGCATATTCAATTCAAGAGTAATCCCCTTTGATAGGAAAACTGCCAGTCACTCCAATATTTGAGGAGAAGAAAACCTAGGAAACTATAGACTTACAAATCTAATGTCATTTATAAGAACCTGTTTACATCTGCATTAGAGACAGAATGACTGAACGTAAGTCACGTCCAATTTAAATTATTGCATTTTTGAAGAAACAGAAGTAGCAGATGATTGAGTGGTAGGTAATTTTACCTATGAATGATATTAATATGGACTTCTAAAAGGCATTTGACAAAGATTTTCTGAAAGAGACCATTAATAACTTTGGCTCAGATCTTCCAGTTCTCTAGATTCTCAGTGCCTGGGCATAGGCACAAGTTGAGCACCAGCACCCCATGGATGTCCCAACTTGCTGATCCAGAAGGTTTAAACACACAATTGCCGTGCTCTCTGGAACTATCAGGAAGTCTCAGGCTGAGCTGAGTTGGAGACATCCCATAGTTCTGATTTATTTACCCAGATAATGCTACCCAGGGAATGCTAGACAAAAATAATCTATTCAGCTCCAGGGTAACAATATGACTGAAGTGCCAATCATGCACACTGACACTACCTGCGCCCCCTCAACCCAACAAGGCTGCACCATCCAAGTGCTGCCTAACTTGGCTTGCTATAAGCCCCCACCCAACCCTATCTTCACTAGTCCCTGACATGACCATTCCATCTCATCTACATTATGCAGTTATCCATTTCCTTACCCATCATACCTATTCACTAATATTACCATTGGACATTCAAACGAGCCACACGGCAGCAAGTTTAATAAAAAGGGGGCTGGTCTTCTGTACTGACCTACTTCATTGCTTTTCTCATGGATTCCTGCAAAGGAAGTAATTCTGCATTATGGATCAGATGTCAAGCCTTTTTAAATTTAACTAGCTACCTGTGTGATCAGTGTGAAGTGCAGAGTTCAATGTTTATTGGAAGATTTGGGTCATTATTTACCTAGCAACTTTAATGTTGTAAAATGTTCCAATGTCCTTTACATCAGAGATGGATTCTAAGGAGCATCTACAAAATGCATTGCAGAAATCCATGAAAGATCTTTAGCACCTTTCAAACCCAAAACCATTGCCATCGAGATGTACAAGGGCAGTAGCTAAATGGAAACACTTGAACTTGCAATTTTTCTTTCAAGCTACTTAGCATCCAAACTTGGAAATATATCACCATTCCTTCAATTTCATTTGAGTTAAAATCCTGAAATTCCTTCCCTAATGGCATTATGGTCTACGTGCAGGCCACCATCATCTTCTCAAGATCAACTAGGGACAAGCAATAAGTACTGGCCTAGCCAGCAACACACATGTCCCACAGGTGAAGATAAAAACTTAAATTAAGAAGGGAATATATTTCAACAGAGGGTTAAGGAGGAATTCCAAAGCTTAGTCCCTTTGCAGCTGAAGACATAGCCATCAACAGTACTACAACTATAAATCAGGGTTGCTCAAGATGACAGAATTGGAGCAGCACAACTAACTTGTGAGAGTCATGTAAGGAATTAGAGATGGTTTTCGAATGTGGGAAAGTCAGCCAGGAAGCATTGGAATAATTAAGTCAAGGAGTGACTATGGCATGGATTAGGATGCATGAGGTTGAAGGCAACCTGTTGGCTTAGGTATAGAATTTTTAAGGAAGTCAGAGACAGAGTGGAGAGAATGGAGATATACTCAAATTAGCACAATAGGCTGAGAGTAATTGCAAGGCATCTATCAGGGCACTAGCTTCTCACTATATTTTCAAATGACTGAAGAAAGAGAGAGAGTTGTTTATCTAAATAAAAACCGAAAGAACCGCAAATGCTGTAAATCAGGAACAAAAACAGAAGTTGCTGGAAAAGCTCAGCAGCATCTGGCAGCATCCGTGAAGAAAAAGTCAGAGTTAACGTTTCGGGTCCGGTGACCCTACCTCAGAACTCTGGAGTATAGATAGATATGCGGTGATCTACTTGAAGTGTTTATGATAAAACAGTCAATAGGCAAACTATTTCCTTTAATGGGAGTTCAAACAAGGCAAAACTATTACCCCTCTTTCTGTGACTTAGTATAATTTTGGTTCATTAAGGTTTTTAATCACATACCTTGGGAGGATGGTTTGCTTCATTAAAGGTGCTATACAAATGCAAGTGACTACTTTTGTTTCATCTGCAGCATTTGAAACTCTCTCCCCCCACCATCCGCAAAGATATTAATAGTTTGGAATTTAACTTCCAAATATGAATTCTCTATAAATTCAAAATCTGTACATCTAATAATTCCGATTCCAAAGAAGAAATTTTATTTTATTTGATATGGTATCATTAACAGGAGCACAAAATTCTATGTTAGTTGTAATTTGCATGTTGTGATTTACTAAAGTTCAACTCTCCAGGTTAGCCCTGTCTCTGTTTGTGCCTGGGATGAGACTTGCAGTACACATATAAACGTCCCCGTCTACGCACAAAAAAGCAGTCCTTGCATCGCTTCTTTACAGAAGTCTTAGTTTTCATTCCTGCCATTCCCTGTACAGTTTGTAGTTGGTACTGTTGAAGAAACGGCATGGCAGCAAATCTCACTATCTTGAGGGGATCCGGCCCAATTTTGGGCTTCACTGTAACCACCATACTCAAATGCTTATGTGTCACTGAACCGACTGATGGCCTACAGAGGGCTGAACACTTGCTCAACTGCCACAGAGGCTTCTTGACCACCTGGAGAAGATTCTTCACAAGAAAGGCCATCCCGTTCACACCTACAATGGAAAAGACACATGTTAAGATGATTTTGAAATATTGTTTGATATGAATTTTGCTCCAGGAATTGCAATGACTTTAATAAAGTATTTCAAAATAAATGAATTGTAAAGCCAAAGAATCTAATTAATTAGTCAGTTTCACTAGAATGTTAGTTTGTCTGCATATTGATCACTGTGGCACAGCAATTCATTACCTGTAAAAAGCTCATTTATATCATTACTTGTTGTTATTTTTATTAGTACACCTAAGATTTTTTTCCAAAATGCTACCTAAACAGGTATAATGCATGCTAAATTTGATTTATTTAGCTTTGGATATTGAGTCAAGGGTTAATTACAACTGACAATATTAAAGCATTCACCATTGCAAATGCAAACAGATGGAAAATATGTCTGCTGTTCTGACAAGGAAGGTACCAGCTTTGAGTGCATGTAGTTCAGCTGGCTTCACTAGCAGTGGTCATAGAACTGACATCAGCATTTGAGAAGAGTTAAACATGAACTAATCAGTTAGGGGTTAGGGCTCCTGGACACATTGAAAGTTTATAACTCAGAAAGCTCCCCATCACGTCTGAGGAAGCCAAAAAAAAAGCTATTCACTTTAATTTCTTTTACTCTTCATGGTCCATAGCCCTACAGCATATGGTACTTCAAGGGCAAGCTATTTTCTTCCCTCCCCCCCACCCCCCCAAATGCAATGAGGGTTTCTGCCATTACCACCTTTTTAGGCAGCAACTTCCAGACCCTGCAGGATGAAAGATTCTCTACTTCATTCCAAATCTTGTGTTAAACTACTTTAAACTAGCTTCCTGGTTATTGACCCGTTATAAGTCCCGTCATTTTATACATCTAACATCTCCCACCTCTACTGCAAATAAGCCAGGCTAATTTTTTTGTATTGTTAAAATTCTCCACACCTAGAGAAATCCTAAGTCTCAACTTTACATTTTTGAGCACAATCACATCCTTTCTTCAGTACATTACATAACTAGACCTGCACACAATACTCCAATTGTGGCTTAACTAATTTAATGTAGTTCTAGAAATGACATCCCTGCTCTTCCATTTCATCTCAGAGTCATACTGATTAGGCTTCCTAAACTGAACTAGTCCTGCATTTGGCCCATTTCCCTTTGAACCTTTCCTATTCAGGTACCTGTCCAAATGTCTTTTAAAATTTGTAATTGTACCTGTCTCTACCACTTCCTCTGGCAGTTGGTTCCAAGCATGCACCACACTCCACATGAAAATGTTGACCCTTAGGCCCCTTTTAAAATCTTTCCCCTCTCATCTCAAAACCTATGCCCTCTAGTTTTAAAGTCCTCTCTCCTGCAAAAAAGACCATGGCCATTCAGCTTATCTATGCCCCTCATGATTTTATAAACGTCTACACGGTCACCCTTCAGGCTCTACCGTTCCAGGGGGGGAAAAAAGTTACCCTCAATTTACAGCAGCATTCTTGTAAATATTTTTCTACAACCTCTCCAGTTTAACAACATCTTTCCTGTAACAGGGTAACCAGAATTGTCCACAGTATTTCCAATAGTGACCTTGCCAATGTCTTGGACAGCCACAACATAACATCCCAACTTTTATACTCAATATCTAATAAAAAGAAAGTATCCAATGTACCATCTGAACCATGTTATTTACCTGTTTTATTACCATTAGGAGCCTGTTGACATCACCTTCAAGATTCCTGTGTTTCTTTACACTCCTCAGCATCCTACCATTCATTGTATATTCCCTTGTTTGCTCTCCACACTTGAAATTCAATCTGGACAAATGTTATTTGTCACTTTTCTACCAGCAGTCTCTTGTATTCTCCAGCTTTCATCCTCTATTGGCCATCTTTGTTTAATCACTGTGGTTTTAATTAATGATTTACTGTCCTTCAAAATTATCTCCCATAATGTGACCAACAAAGTTAGTCTAACAGGCTTTTAATTACTTGACATTCCTTTACTTTTTAAACAATGTTACAAAGTGGATAAAAATCTTATTTTACAAATCAATATTTCTAACTTAGGATTTGGAAAATGGTTACAATTTGTTGTGTTCCCTTATTTCTCTTTACAGCCTGGAATAGAATTCATTCAGGCTGACACTATTTATCCACCCGCAAATACATAAACTCCTTAATTTAATCGAAGCATACAAGATTCATAGGGTACTTGACAGGGTAGATGTAAAAAAAAATTCATTCTTCTTCTTCTTCTTATGACAGAGTCTAGAGCCAGAAGGCATAACCTCAAAGGGGTTGCACATTTAAGACAGATGAGAAGGAATTTTAATTACAAATGCAAATGTATACAAATGAGAATGTATGAGGGTATGATGATGCGGTGGTTGTGCTACTGGACTAATAGCCACAGTAATCCTATAGACGTAAAGAATATTCCACAGTAAGAAGTCCAAATCCCATTGTGGAAATTTAAGAATTTGAAGGAACTGATTAAGCAGTTGGAAATTAATAAAATTTTCATATAAGTGACAATGACAAACCAGTTTGATTTTCATATCTTTCAGTGGCAGAACCTTCATGTCTTAAGCTGTAGGCCAGGTTCCACACGAAAGTGAACTTGACTCTAAAGTGGCCTTTCCTCAGAACCGTTCTGAGGAAGGGTCACCGGACCCGAAACGTTAACTCTGATTTGTCTTCACAGATGCTGCCAGACTTGCTGAGCTTTGAGCAACTTCTGTTTTTGTTTCTGATTTACAGCATCTGGAGTTTCTTTCCTTTTTTTATTGACTCTAAAGTGGCCCAGCAAGCAATCCAATTCTATAAACGGTGACCAACAACTATTTTAAGATGAGGACAGGCAATAAATATTGGCTTCTTCAGTGATTCACACAAAGTGCATTCTTTTTAAATTAAAAAGCAAAATACTGTGGGTGCTGAAATAAAACTAGAAAGTGCTGGAGAAATTCAACAGGCGTGGCAGCATCAGTGGACAGAGAGAAAAAGAAAAATCAGATTTAATATTTGAATTCTCCTTGATGAAGAGCTTTCCAAAGACGTTATTGGACCCAAAATACCAACAGTTTCTCCCTCTACAGATGCTGACCTGAATTTGACCAGCACTGTGCTTATACTTTGAAATTTTGATTGCTATACAGGCTCAATTCCGAAGATTGAGTACATTTGCAGCAAAACATCGCATTCAGATGGCATCACCAATGCATACCATGGCAAAATTAATTAACATTTGAAATCCTGTTGTGTACACATTAGCTGCTGCAGCACATGTAACATTCATATAACTCATTGAAGCTGAGTACTTAGAGACATTGCAGCATGCAATGAAACAGTTTCAGGGCTTGCAGCTTGACAACACGTGTGGATCAGTGAGTTTGAAGAGCTTTCCAATACCAACCCTAAATTCATATGTTGTTGTCCCCTTGGCCCGCTCACCATGTAACCCATTTTTGTGTCAGTTACTATATTTATACAAAAACAAGGTTCCGTTTCAGTTGCTTACTTTCAAGAAATAAAATCCTAATATTCTCCAACTCTTAGCTGAGGATCAGTTTAAGGTTCTTTGCAGGATGTATTGCACTATGCTTAGACGTCTTAGAGTTGATCACAAACTTAACAAGCTACCTCCATTGCCTCTGCGTCCTTCGAGAGGTTCTACAACACTCCTAAAACGTTCAGATAACCCAGGAAGCATAAAATCTGCAACTCACTTCCTGCGTCACTGCCGCTTTCACTTCCGGCGATCCAAACTCGCGCTGGCGCAGTACGCACTCCTGACCTGAAGGATCCTGGGAGAACCACAAACTTCCTTCGTGCCCCGTTTACGTGACCCTCTGACGAAAGGTCACTGGACAGGAAACGTTAAGAACAAAAACAAAGTTGCTGGAAAAGCTCAGCAGGTCTGGCAACATCTGTGAAGAAAAAGACAGTTAACGTTTCGGGTCCGGTGACCCTTCCTCTGAAACGTTAAGAGCTGCGCTTGCTGACACCTCGGAGCATGCGCAGTATTCCTCGCGCGGTGGGAGGATAACAGACTGAGGGGTTCAAATTCTGCCACGGCAGATGGTGGTAGTCGTAGTCAATTTTTAAAAAATCTGGAATCAAGAGTCTAACAATGGCCGTGAATCCGTTGTCGATTTTTGGAAAAGTAAACATCTGGTTCACTAATGTCCTTTAGAGAAGGAAATTGCCACCCTTACCTAGTTTGGCCTACATATGACTCCAGACCCACAGTAATGTGGCTGACTCTTAACGATCCTCTGAGCAATTAGGGATGGGCAGTAAGTGCTGGCCTAGCCAGTGACGCCTCATTCCCATTAATGATTTTCTCTCCCCTGCCTCCCATTCTAGATGTTGGTCTGGTAAACCTCTGAATTGCCTCCAATACATGTACATTCCTCCTTATAAGGTGACCAATGCTGTGCACTGAACTATAAAGGAACAGTTTCACCAGTGCCCTGCATAACTGAAGCAAAACCTTCTAACTTTTATGTTCAATTCCCCCTGCAATAAATGGTAACATTCTGTTAGCTTTCATAATTACCTGATGTACCTGCATAAACCAGTACTTTGCAATTTATGCACATGAACACCCAGATATCTTTGCAATCTTTCACCATTTAGAATAATACTGTGGTTGGTTGGTTGGTTGGCTCGCTGAGCTGGTTTGTTGTTTTTCCACAAACATTGCATTACCCTGCTGGGTAGCAGCCTTCAATGAAGTGCTGTTGTGTTTTCCGGCCTGTTATTTAAACTCTGCAGTCTGTTGAGCTGGATTACCTCACTTCCGGTTCTCTTTCATTGTAGAGTGTATATGGGGTTGAGCTCTATGTGTTTGTTGATGGCTTTCTTCGTGGAGTACCAGACTTCTAGGAATTCGCAGGAACACATCTGAACTGACCACAAGACTCCTATGACCACTGACCATCACAGTAGCACACAAACCCACCCTAGGAAAAAGACCTTGGCTATTCATCCTATCCATGCCCCTCATGATTCTATAAACCTCTATAAGGCCACCCCTTAGCCTCCAACACTCCAGGGGGAAAAGTCCCAGCCTATTCAGCCTCTCCCCATAACTGAAACCCTCCAGTCCCAGCAACATCCTTGAAAATCATTTTTGCGCCCTCTCAAGTTTAACAACCTCCTTCCTATCATTCATATAAATTGTAAGCAGTTGATGTCCTGACACCAATCTCTGTGGCACACCACTCATTAAACTTCTCAAAATGAAAAGGACCCATTTATGTCTACTTTCTGCTTCCTGTTCACCCAGCCAATCTTCTAGCCATGCCAAGATGCTACCTCTTGTACTGTGAGCTTTTGTTTTCTGCAATAACCTATAATGTGCACTTTAAGATGTCAAATAAACATCGAATGCCTTCTGGAAATCTAAGTACATCACTGGTTCCCCTTTATCTACAGCATTTGTTACTTTCTCAAAGATTCCAACAGATTGGTCAAAGATGATTTCCTTTTCACAAAAGAATGTTAACTCTTGAAATTTTCTAAGTATCCTACTACAATTTCTTTTAGCTTCCAACGTTTTCCGTATACCAGATGTTAAGCCTGTTAATTTCCTGCATTTTGTCTTTATCCCTTTTAGAATGGGTGATGTAGTGGTAATATCACTGAAGCAGGCAGAGAAATTTAAATTCAGATTAATAAAATGTAAAACTTAAAGCTTGTCTCATTAATGGTGACGATCAGACGTTAAAAAAAAGGTCTAGTTCACAAATATCCTTTCAAGAAGGAAATCCACTGTCCACACTTGGTTACATGTAACCTATTCATAAAGTGGTGTACTCTTAACTGTTCCCTGAGATAGCAGTTGAAGGGCAGTTGGGGATGGGCAGCAGATGCTTGCCTAATGATAGCTACATTCCATGAAAGAATTAATATACTATAAAGAATCACAATGCCAATTTGGAAATAGATAAATAAATGCTGATTTATCATCTGGCCAGCTGCATTCACAAGGGCCGTACATAAATACTGTGGCCGTACATAAATACTGTAAAACATTTATTTGCATTATTTTGTTCAACTTTAATTCCGAACTTTGCGTAGTTTGATGAGCCACTTGTACCTACTGGAAATAGAGAGCGGTGTATGACTGCGCACGCGCGGTAGGAGCCGGCGGAAGGCTCTCACTGCTCACTCTTTGAAGGTGACTGACGGTTATGGCCGCTGCGCGTCTCTCGGTCCGGAGTAAGATCCTGCCGGCCCTGTTGGGCCGCCTCCGGCCTCACCCAGGAACTGCCGCGGTGGGCACGATCGGCACGCGTGCTGAGGAGAAAGTAACACACACGGGACAGGTAAAAAAAAATACCAGGGGGGAAATGAGGCACACAGAGAGTGAGAGATGGAGGCTGGGAGCTGGGTGAGAGGAGGATAGAGATGGGGGAGGCGAAGGAGCAAGAGAGGGAGTGGTTACTTAGGGAGCATATTCCTGGGAATATGTCCAGAGAAGTTATTTGGGTGGAACTGAGAAAATAAGAAAGGGACGATCACCTTATTGGAGTTATTCTAAAGACCTCCTCCCCTCCCCTCCCCAACAGTCAGCAGTAAATTGAGAAACAGATTTGTAAGGAGATTTCAGTTATTTGTAAGAATAATAGGGTGGTAATGGTAGGGGACTTTAACTTTCCAAAGTGAATACAGTGTGGAACTAAAGGAACACCGCAGGCCAGGCAACATCAGAGGAGCAGGAAATTTGACATTTTGGTTCAGATTAGGAATGGGGAGGGGGAAGGGTGCTGTAAAATATATTAGGGGGAAGAGAGGTGGGGCTGGGTGAGGTAGGTGGGATGGTTATAGGTGGATGCAGGTACTGGGTAGTGGAGATTGGTCGGTGGGAAGGGTGGCATTGGTAGGTGGGGAAGAAGATGGACAGGTTGTATCAGGTTAAGGAGGCAGGAATGAGACGGAGGGTTGGACGTGGGATGAGGCCGGGATTGGGTGGGGAGATTTTGAAACTGGTGGATTCTATGTTTAGGCTATTAGGCTATTGGGCTGTAGGCTCCTGAGGTGGAATATGAGGTTTTGATCTACCAGTTTGCGTGTGGCGGCAAGGTGGCACTGGAGGCAGCCCAGGATGGACATATTGCCAAGGGAGTGGGAGTTGAAGGGAGAGTGAAAATGGTTGGCGACCAGAGGTATTGTTGATTATAGCGTACAGAGCGTAGGTGCTTTGCAAATCGGTCACCGAGTCTGCAAGTGGTCTCACTGATGTAGAGGAGACCACATTGGGAGCAACAGATACATTAGACCAAGTTGGAGGATGTACAGGTGAATCCCTGACAGATTTGGAAAGATTGTCTGGGGCCTTAGACAGAGGAGAGGGGGAGGTGTAGGTAGCAGGTGTAGCACCTCTTGTAATTGCAGAGAAAGGTGCTGGGTGTGGTGGGGTTGGTGGGAGTGTGGAGCAGACAAGGGAGTTGTGGAGTGAGTGGTCCCTACAAAAGGCAGATGGGGTGGGGAGGGAAATATCTCTTTGGAGGGGTTGGATTGCAGGTGGCAGAAGTAGCAGAGGATGATGCTGTGGATATGGAGGTTGGTGGGGTGGTATGTGATGACTGGGGACTTTGCCCTTATTTTTCTTGGGGGGAGGGGTTTTCAGGGCAGAAGAGTGAGAACCACAAGAGATGCAGTTGAGGGGATTATGAATCAACAGAGTGGGGGATGATCCAGTCCTGGAAATAGGAGGACATCTGGGATGTCTGGGAGTGGAGCGCTCAATCTTGGGAGCAGCTGCAGCAGAAGCAGAGTAATTGGGAGTAAGGGATCATATTCTTGTAGGAGGATGGTGTAGTCAAGCTAGCTATGGTAGTCGGTGGGTTTGAAATAGATGTCAGTGCTGAGACGGTTACCGGAGATAGAGACAGAGAGGTCCAAGAAGGTGTTTCCAGGTGAATTTGAGGTTAACTTTCCAAGCGTAGACAGGATTGCCATAATGTTAAGAGCTTTGATGGAGAACAATTTAAATGTGAACAAGAAATTTTCTGATTCAGTATGTGGATGTATGCACTAGAGAAGGTGTAAAACTTGACCTACTCTTGGGAAATAAGGCAGGGCAGGAGACTGAGGTATCAGTTGGGGAGCACTTTGGGGCCAGTGACCATAATTCTATGAGTTTTAAAATAGTGATGGAAAGAGATAGATCTAAAAGTTAAAGTTCTAAATTGGAGGAAGGCTAATTTTGACGATATTAGGCTAGAACGTTCAAAAATTGATCGGGGTGGATGTTCGCAGAAAAAGGGACGGCTGGAAAATGGAAGCCTTCAAAAATGAGATAATGTGAGACCACGGTCACTATGTTCCTGTTAGGGTGAAGGGCAAGGCTGGTAGGTGTAGGGAATGCTGG